TGACCTCATTCTTTGGCTGCTCCTTATCTGTTTACTATGAAATAGCTGAAAAGTAAGTGAAACAAAACTTTTCTCCCCACTAAAAATGCTATTATGCCGAACTAGAAGGAAGGGCTGATGAAGAATGATGCACTTTTTGTAATGCCATTTGTCAGTCAAGAATAACAGTGAATATAAGCTTTGTAATATTCACAGAGAAACACTGCACAGGTGTAGAATCAATCTTGAACTACTGCATCACTGCAATGTCAAAATAAACACTTGAAAGCTGCATTTAATGCATGTAAACTTAATTATTTCAATTAGATGTTTAAAGTTAAAACCTTCATTCTGATCACAGGAATAACATTATCTGCTTCAGCAGATTAACTGGTCACAGAGGGAGTTAAAAATAAAATTCTTGTCAGCAAGACATACCTGTTAATTAGGGAGGGCAAGGGAAGGAACAAAAACAAACTGAATAACCCGTTTGAAAACCAGACTGTCTGACTCTGCCCACTCCTCATTATCTGGCAGAGGTATAGATTAAAATAGTCTAAGTGTTAAACCACAACAATAAGTTACTGTAGAAATTTTAAAAAACCCCACCAAATTAACTAATTTAACAAAAAATAACACACTACCTTTAAGAATGCGTGGTTTCATGGAGGAAAAAATTTACACACTATTTTCTTCAGGATTTCAAAAAATCTTGCTGCTTTATATCAAATGTAGGACACAAGACAGTGCTGTACAATGCCCTTCCTAGCCAGGTTCTACATCCCCTTCTTGCAGAAAGGTCCCTTGCAAAATTAAAATTAGAAGGCACAATAAGGTTCAAAAGACAAACTGCAGTGAACATTCAATGGCTCAACGAGGAACAGCAACAGGGCTTCAAAGAAAACTCACTCAAGGTTGCACATGGGTATTCCACATGTGGATGTAATATTAATATCTGCATGATGCTAATGAGTAAGATTACACCATTCATTTGCACATGGATATTACAGAATTAATATGTTATTAGTATCAAAAAATCATATTTAAACCAGAAGGGTTGTTTTAATTAAAACCTAACAAAAATACGCTGATTTGTTCAACACATGTGAAGAAACTAAATATACACAGTTATGCCTTGGATTTTGCTGTACTAGAGAAGGTTTTGGGGAAGAATAACTTCAATACTGAACAGCTAAGTTGTTCAAACTTTATGGCATGTTTTCTTAACAGTGGAAAATATAAGGTATAATAAGGTGTTCCTGTGGATGCCACAAGCAAGGGCAAATAAAAGCTGGAAGTGGGTGGGAGTAGCAGCCTACCTACATACCAGCCTTTAATTCACTGCTCCAAGAAAGCTGGCATTTAGACCTCAAATGCCATGTACCCACAGAAAGTAGGTGGCAATCAAAAGACTACTGCAGCTCGAGTCTTAATGATTCACTGTAATTAGAATGTAGAGATCCAAGCACTTTAAGGCAGAAAAGGAAAACATGCAGAAATTTTACCAGAGCTGAAGGAATTCTTGCTAAGATACCCCAATCAACAGATGCAAACAGAAGGTTCTAGTCAATGATCTACCAGCAGAAATAAATTGTCAATACCTTTTAAAAAATATTTTGTTCATGTTTAGTTCAATTATAGCTGACACGGAAGTTAGTATTTTCTTTTGTCCTTTCTCACTCAAACTCCCATAATGTGAAAAACACAACTCAGCTATTAAGACCTTACTTCAATTTTGAAAACATACCAAAATTATTGTTGAATTGTATTTTAAAAGTCTCATCATAAAGAAGCAAGAGAATCCTGATCGAGAAGTTTTCCCTTGAGGCAAGTTGGATGGATAATGAATTCTATACTGGAACAATCCCAGTAGTTACAGACTATTATGTACTAATTACTACCTTTACAGATCTACTGTACACATAATTAATTTCTTCAGAGCACTACTATCATTCTTGACTGGCAAAATACACAACCTAAATTACAAGAGCCAGAAATTAACATGATCCTTTAGGGAGAAGGCATTAACTTGCTTTGCAGTGTTCTGCAATTAGAGTATCAATCAAACAGTGAGAAGTGATTTTGATTGCAGCAGGCCCCATACATTGAGTATTGTCACATCTTGGCAAAGTTATCTCAGGCCCCAAGCATATGATGTGTCACAACTTGTCTACAGAGTCATAACATTTCAGTCCTTTACTTTTAACCTGTTAGCAAACACTTCACCACACAGTTCTACTTATATTTAATATTCCAAAAATTGAACACCAACATAGGGAGCTTTCTGACATCTTATTCCACAAAGCACCACAGACATGACACTGCTGTTGCTGTTCTCATCCCTCACGGTGGTGGTCAAGGATAAAATCTGATGTCAATTAAGGGACAAAAGCATTGATAAAACAATGCTCCAGCTGCACACCATCATATGACCCACTTAAATGATTTCAGACTTGCTTTAAGTAGGTTCTTGCCAAGAACATCAATGTTTTAAACGGTTAATTTTAGGTGATGGGGTTTTTAAGATATTCTACAGAACTGCAAGCATACACATCCCAACTCTACCAGAAACAAGTAACCCTATTTCTTTTACTACAGTGACTATTCCCATGGGTATTCCAAAATGCCATGAAATACAAGAGAGTAAACACTAAGGCATCACAATTGCTTTTGGCAATTGTCAGTTTTCTTCTACTCACCCATTTATTTGTTTTACATGCTGACTGTGCTCTTGAGAATATAAAACGCATTTCTAGTTGTTTTTCTATCCTTCTCCTATAATGAATTAGGAGAGCACACCAAAAAATGGGACTAAAGCAGAAGAGAAATTTGATCCTAGATCATGCTTGAAATAGGTATCATGGGGATTATTGAGCTGCCTGTGACTCTTAAGGCAAAAGGTGAAGAAGAACGGTGAACATTATTCCATATTTCCTTTTGCAGACAGCAGTTGCAGGAAAAAAGTTGCTTCTGGAATGCAATTTTATGGGCATGCACTGCAACTTAATGCTCTGAGACTCTTTTTGACTTGTAGTAGGTTTAACTCAAAGACAACACTGACTTTCTCTGTGAATCAGACCAGTAAGATCTTCATATCCTGGGTAATATGCAGTAACATTTTTAATTTGCAGCTTTTGTTTTGGCATCTTGTCTTCTATAATCATTAACTGAGAAGAACACAAGAAAGAACAGGAGAAATATCTGCATGGCTATCACTACAGTAAGCTATTTGGAGAATTTCTGTTGTTCCCAGTTTCAGAACTGTGCAACTATGTCAACAAGAATTTCTTCTCATGGGAAAATGACATCTACGTCAAAATATCAAGAAGGTTTTTTCAGTATTTTTAACAAAGAAGCTTTTCAGGAATTCGGAAACATTTGTTCCAATTTCTGATTAAAAAATTCAGCTCAAGGCAGAAGCTTGTCATTTTCATGACAAGCATTGTTTCCCTTAAAGGTCTTCCTGACATACTGAAAACAATGACCAACTCCACACCATTTTCACTGCAGTGCTATAAACCGCCCCAAAACCCCCAAATAAAGCAGCACATGCAAAACTGTGCTTATTTGGCCTACGAAAACACTCGATACATCTGATTCCATCCAGCTTTAGGAACTGCACAACCCCGAAGTATTGCAACTGGTTGATGAATGGACAAAAGATCTGTTGCTAGACCAGGAATTCATTCTTTCACTATCCACCTTTTCCTGGGCTCTAGTTTGTTAGGCTTCCCCATGAGCTCCTGAGTAAGTTATTACTGAATCATACTTCAGCAGTGCTTGCTTGTTTTCTTTGCCTGAAGCAAATCACCATCTACAACAGATAATAATGAAAAGACTTTCTAAAAAAAACTATGTGCAATCTTAGACAACTGTAAGACCACTTGAGGAGTTGAGAACAGCATTAAGGTATCGAAATCATCACCAACGTTCAGTTGCTAGTAAATGCACTCCTAACTTACAATACAAATATTATCATTGTATTTCCTATTGAAGGAATCAAGTACTTGAGAAATTAATTTGGTTTTTATCTAAAACCAGTAGTAAAAGAGGTATTTGTATGACATTCTGATCAGTCTCAGTTACACCTGCTAAAGCTCCAGCATAGTTTTTATTCTCATTGTGGTGTTCTCTGCAGTATTCAAACAGACCCATTTCAAAATGGTCCAACAAAAAATCTGATTATCTGAAGCTTTTCCATGGTATTATGCAAACAGTTTAATAAGTGTGCACTCACATATTCAACCCTTTGAAAACTAACTTACAACATTCACTAATGACAGCAGCAATGCAGTTGGACTACATAGAACTTGGGGATGGGGGAAATCATTCTTAAACTATGCAAACAGAAATTTAAATGCTAACTAACAGAGTATATTTAAAAACTTTTTGCTTAAATGACAGTTACATATAGTATTAAAAATAAAAGTGAAAGCAAATACTAAGGACACAAACACAATAAGTTTAAAAAGAATGATCATTTCAACCACATATTCCAGAATCATGAAAAGAGGGCACAGTAGAGTTGTGATTTTGTGCTTTAACTGCATGTTGTAATTGCTACATCCCAAGGTTTACTTGTACTTGTAGAGGATTCTGGTTTAGCAGAGTCGTACAAGCAAGTAAGTATCCGTTACACAACAAACCCTCCACATCTGGAATATCTACGAGAACCTGACCACTTACAGTTCCCGCAGCTGAGGAATATGCAAATAAAGCATGATTTTAGGATCAGAATTTAAACTTAATTATAATTTGAAGAATTCACATCTGTCTGCCATATACCCTGCGCTTTAAAGAGATATTCTTGCAAAAAGATTCCTTCCCTTATGTCGCAAGGTGAGGGAGGAGCAATTCTTGTAACAGACTCTTACACTTAATAAAAACATAGGTTTTACATCATCTCCCTGCTATAAAACTATCATAAGTATGATATGGTATCTCACAGACTATAAAAGAGATTGTCATTGCATGGTTTTAAACTTAGTAGAAGCATAATAAAAAGTAAAATAAGAATGTACCTTTCATTTGGGTTCCAAAGGTAAGCGCCAATTTTGCAAACAGCTCCGGGTTTTCAAATTTGTCTTCTTCAGCTTTTACCCAAAAGCTGTTTTCTCCTATCTCTTGAGGCTCAATCTGAAAGAAAATGGCATCTCCAAAGTAAATAACTAGTGCTTTCAACATCAAGTTAAAACAAATGTGTGATAATAAAAACAAAATGTTGCGATAATTGGACTGAAGTTTATCCACGTTCCGGGTATGTTCTCATAATGATGCTTCCTGCACAAACAGAATGAACTGCCCTCTAACCACAAATGGGTTTTATTGTATTTCTCCCATTCAACAAGCTCTCCAACCAGGCCTGATAATAAAATAGCATCTGTGTTTGCAAGTGTTGCAGCTTTCTCTGTATTACTTCACAGGGAGTTCCCAAATTCTTCCCCACTGCTATGCACCCCTGACACTTGAGAACTGTAGGAGGAACACTCTTTCTTACACTGCCAGAGTATGGAATAGCTTATCTGTAAATGCCCTGTCAATGTGGACCCTTCAGTGACTCAGTATTAAGCCTGCATTGGCTATATTAAAAGAAGAAAATGCTCTGAAATACAGAAGAAAGGCATCTTTAGTCTCAGGTATGACTCAGAACTGCTATTTTGTTTTCAAAATATGTTCCTCTAACAGCTTTTAACATATTATCAATTCTTGTTTACAAGTTTGTTTAAATGCCAAGTAATTTTCAAGGGCTATTTAACTTCAAGATGATATGCAGGAAATTCAGCAATACTCTATTTGTCAGTCTCACTTCAATTTGACTGCAACACTCTGGTCCCCCATCTTTTACCGCTGCTTTACCACCAGCTCCAGGTAAGATATTTTTAAAAAAACTACCTTAATCCAACACTAATGGGGAAGACAGTTACAGCACAAGGGACCAAATTAAACACTAAGAATTTTATTCCTCAAATGATGGCTCCTTAAAAGTGATGAACAAATAGACTTTCTCAGCAGGAGATCTCTGGCACTGTTCCCAGAGCTATAAAGCAAAGCATTCATCTGCAGTTACTTCCCATTGTCATATCCAGTGTTCAGATGGACACTTTATCAATTATTCCTATAAACTCACAAATGTAAATTACTGCAATGAAATTGGATGCAATTACCAATATGTCTTATAAACTAAAAAGCTTATTTTTCTATGTGTTTACTGGACAGCACTCTGAGTATGTTTCACAGTTACAAAGCTCCTGCAATTATCTCTCAAATCAGACATTACTTAGCAAGAACAACTGAGTTTAGCAAACATAAGTTACATGTCTGTCAGAAATTCTTTTCTACTTAAGTGAGATGCCTAAATAAATGTATTTAAACTCAATCAACTCTCTTACAGCTGAAAACCATTAGCCCTTGTACCCACAGCAACAGGCCCTGCTAAACAATTTGTCCTCAGTTTTATTACAGGCTCCTCCAAGTACTGAAAGTCCACAACAAGGTCTCCCCAGATAATGTAATGAGGCTACCCAAAACAGGTCATTTTTTCTTCTAAAAACATGTGATTAACTTGAAACATGTTAAGAGACTGGAAGCTCATGGTGCCCAAACCTTTCCCTGGAGCAGCCCCATGGCTCCTCCCTGTGGTCACAGCCCTGCTTCAGCATATCACTGATTGAGAACAGCAATAAGCATCTCAGACAAATAACCTACCAGTACCATTATAGGCCTGATACCTGCACTCTCTGAACTTACAACTGCTCTAAACATCATGAACTTCGAAGCTTTCTGTATGAAACAGCATGCTGCTAGCTGTGTGTGAGAACTGCTTCAAAACAGTTTGGAGATATATATATATGGAGAGACAAAGATACACAACTTAATGCAAAGCTGCAATTCACGTTCAGTGCACCTGATATAATGTACTGGAACTAAACTGGCTTCCTGGAATACTTGGTCAAACACCAAAGTTGTGTCAAAATGAATCTCATTTAAAAATTCCTCATAGTGTACAATCTTAACCATATCTGTAAAGTAAGGAGGAGGAGGAACATCAGCTTCACAGTTCTTGTCGTACCTTTGACCAGTTGATCCTCTTCATGGAGACTTCCAGCTGATACTTCTTCTTCTCCTTCATCCCGTGTGGTAACGCTGGTGCCACCGGAAAGGGAGCAAAGGGAATACCTCCAAGAGGTGGTGGCATCGGAGGCCCACCAAAAGGCGGTGGTGGAGGAGGAGGGACTCCTCCCCCAGGGAGTGGAGGTGGTGGTGGTACTGCTCCACCAGGCAGAGGAGGAGGTGGTGGTATTGCTCCACCAGGCAAAGGAGGAGGTGGAGGAATTGCTGCTCCACCAGGCAAAGGAGGAGGTGGAGGAATTGCTGCTCCCCCAGGAAGGGGAGGTGGAGGAGGAATTGCTGCTCCACCGGGCAGTGGAGGTGGAGGAGGAATTGCTGCTCCACCAGGAAGGGGAGGAGGAGGAGGAATTGCTGCTCCACCAGGAAGGGGAGGAGGGGGAGGAATTGCTGCTCCACCAGGCAGCGGAGGAGGAGGCGGGATTGCTCCACCAGGCAGTGGAGGCGCTGGAGATGGTGGTGCGTTCTCACTTGGCAGGGTGGCAGGTAATGTTGGTCCTTCTGTCAGTTGACCTGTCAGGACTGGACCCTGGAATACAAAAGAGGAATTCTTTTCACTGGGGACAGGAGGCGCTTTCATACAAAGCTGAACCAGCTAGGGTGCTTTTTAATCACCTGCACCTCAAGAGAGTGAGAAATGCAACTGTTCTCCTATTTAAATGAGAAACAATAACAATAGATTGTACCATGTACCATAAAGCTGCCAAGTAAACTGAATAACCTAGCATTTTTATAAAAACAAATTGTTTCAATTTTAAAGAAAATTTAATAGTAGCAGTAACATTTAAGTGAACAGAACAACATTTTATTTCTTACCAATGCACAAAACATTTATCCCACTTAGAAAACCCTGGCAAGCCAGGGCATCTGAGATGAGAACAACCATGCTGAATTTTAACAGCACTAATGTGGTGGTGAAAAATTTTCCACAGCAATCAGTGGAGTAGCTATTGCAGTGCAAGAGGTTACAAGGACATAGTTGTTCATAACTATCCTGACATCATGTGGGGCTGGAGGATGTGCAACAACCCGTCCTGCTTGGTTTTATATCTGCAGATGTTTCTTTGGTAATAGGAAGAAAGAACTATAGCAATATCTGTTCTAATAACTTGCAAAAGGAGCAAGGAAGAGAAACAGTAGCATGTTAAACCATTAGCAGGTGAGTGAATCTAAAACAAGTGCCATCACATATTGTCCTAGATGAGAAAAAGGCAGATACTAGAAATGTTAATAACACCATTACTGTGAGTGAACTGTAACATCTAGATAATCTGAACTGTGTTAGAATCAATAAAACAAGATTAATAATTAATTAGACTAAAAAAAAATTTTTGCCTTTGCATAAGGCATGTATTTCTTTGGCCCACAAACTAATACACAAGCTACAATGCAACAATTGCAGAAAAACTCATTAAAACAGACTGTCTAATTTCAGTGTAATGTTATCTTGTAGAAATTTCTAACAAACACGAGATTTGGTAAGAACAAAGTGGCAACTGGAGTGTCTGTCTCCACCTTACAATCCAAACAGGAAGTGAGATCATAGGCATTAAGGAAAAAAGGCAAGAGGCAGACTTGCCTAGCACTGAAGGAACAGAAAAAAATCCAAGCTGAAGCAAAAGCACCAAATCATAATACCTGTTAGTTCCTAAAGGGTATAAACAAGTCTAAAACCCAAAGTTGGTGTAAAAAATAAAAAGAAAAAAGTTTTATATGAACACTATGAGTAAAAAATATACATAAGAATAAAAGGCTTTAGAAATGAAGCCTTCTAAAACCAAAACTCTCTGCAAAACATACAGAAGTAGCAATGTTAAAGCACAAACAAATACCTGGAGGCAAAAAAAAAAAAAAAAATCAGGCTGGATTCAAAATTTTTATAGCTTAAGGAAATTTTTTTCTTTAAAAAAGCAAGTGCCTGTGACAAATGTTGAATATATTGGTATTTGAAAAATGTTACCTCCATTAACTATCGTTAGTAACTTAAGCTGGCTGAAAAACAAATCAATACAACTATAAAAGACATTTCAAACTCCCAGAGACAAGATACTCCAGGGCAATTTCAATTCCTTAAAGAAAAACAAAAAAACCCCAACCAACTCAGCTGTGCAACTTAAGGTGATATAGTTTTATTACCTGGGTTCGTAGCTGTTTGATTTCTGTTTCGAGTTCTTTGATTTTCTCTTCTCGTTTCTGAAGTTCCACTTGCGCCTCTTGTCGAGCTGTGAACTCTTCATCAAACTGTAACAATTAACCACAAGTGTTTGTCCATTTACGTCCACACTAAATACTATTATTTTCAGGAATTCTTTGAGCAATATCATAACTAGAACAATAGATGCACTTTTAAGTTTTGTTAAAAGCATTTTTCTAGTAGGTCCTCCTTTAGTACCACATAATTTCTTCCATCAGTAATAAGTCAGTGATATAGAACCACTCAGATCCAGCTGCTTAGTACAGGTTTTCCAGCCCTAACACAACACTGCAGACTTCTCAAACTAAACTTGAGTTTACATCTCATGCAGTGACCTTAAATTCATTACAAACAAAATATGCAACTACCATGTTCAAGAACATGTACTGCCTTTTAGCCTGCAAAAGTCTTCCAAGACCCAACAAAAATCAAAACTTTGAATGTTTTTAATACACAATATATGAACTTCAGTACTATTGCTCCTAAAATAGTCCATTGAGCATTTCATATCCTTAGACAGGATGTGATCAGACGAGATTAACAAATAATCCATCAACATAATCTAGGAAACAAGAATTTAAGTAATTTGAGAAAATGTTGTATCAAAATATTTTCAGCACAAACACCAATAGTGATAAAGCAGAAGGACCTGTCAATTTATTTAAAAATATCCCCAAAAAATGTTTATTACAAGAAAAATACTGAGCTGCAATTCTTCCTACAGAAATAATTTTAAATGTCTCTCCTGCATTTAGTAATAAATAAGCCTACTGTGTTCCTGTCAGGCTTCTGTTCCATACCTTAAAGAGAGCAAGGAGTGGGACTCACCTTTCTGGAAAATTCTGCCGCTTTCTTTTCACTCTCTTCTACTTTAGCTTTGTCCACACATGCATCTAGAATTTAAATAAAATACCACACAGAAGTCACATAAAACCTATCACAGGTCTGAGGTGCCTCCCAATTATAATCACCCTATGAGCCCATGACACAAAAGCAACAGACAAATTTTCTTTTCACACCCTCATTCCATTAAAGGCTGCAGCATTTGATCTGGCCTTCTCCACAAGTGCACCTGTAGTTTACATGAAGATTCCCAGAAAACTGAAAAAATTCCCAGTCAAGGAAAGTCTAGACAGGAGGACACAAAGAAAAACATGCACTTGGGTAGAACATGGTAAAATTGTTTAAAGTGTACAAACCAACAAGATGTGTAAAATTCACGTCCAACCTTCCCCGATATTTAAAATCTGGGTCCATGCCACTGCAGTGCAACACTATCTGGGACACACATTCTTCTATGATCTTGTAATACTGAGGTCTAAAACAGGAAACATTTTACAAGACAATGAGAACAAGCACAAGCATTTATTGAAGGGGAGCAACTTTAACTCCTAATATATGAATTATACAATTATCAGTTAAAGTATCAGGTTAAAAGTTTTATTTGTACTCTTATTTGCAAAGATTTTGCATGTGATACTTTGACCCTGCAAAGACACTTAGATGCACATAAGAGAAGTTTACATTAAAAAGATAAGATAGAAGGCACTGAGGAAGTATTTTCAATTATTGGTTATACAACTAAATGTCAAGTTGCTTGAAGTCATAAAGGTAAGAAACAAAGAAAGAAAAAGTGCTCAATAAGTTAAGAGATTCTTGGGATGAGAGTGTTACACTAAGGTAAAGTCTCTGAAACCAGCATTATTATATTTAATAAGATCTTTTCAATACTAACATAGAGCAGCAAGACAAAGAACACATCAGTCTCAGAGTGATTTTTCAAGCATGATTATGAGCTACTCAGTTTACCGGGGTCTTGATTTCTTTTCTTGTCCCTATTCCCTCCAAAAAAACCCAACCTGGGAGCTGACACTTACCTGATATAGTAATCATTCCGGATGAGAAGGAAGTGTTGGAGAATTGACAAGAAGTAATTTTCAGAAGAAGTATCTTTCACCAAGTTATACAGCAGATGAAATACTTCACTCACATCGGTGCAAACATTGTTAAGAAAACAAACCAACCAAACAAAATCCAAAAGAAAACCACAACACACTAGTTTTCTAAATATTTTCTAAGCATTTTTTAACAAAAAAAGCAACTGGAAAGAAAATCTGCTTGACAAATTTCCTGCGACAGATAAACAACTGCAACAAATAAACCACATGTACATCACTATAACTTACATTTAATATAGTTCTTAAATGATGCAACAAGTTCTAACACCATTTCCATAAAGGATATTCCATTTCAGCTTTGATATCACTGAGACGGTGTGACAGTTCAAAGTGGTCTTCATCTTTGTTCTCATCAAACACTCTCAGCTGAATATCAAGCTCATCATTTTCCTTATCTTTCAAGGCCTGTTTTTCAAGGTAAAGTATATCTTAATTTTTCCTTTTTTTAAAGCAAGAACTCCCCCCCCCTCCCCCCCCGAAGGATTGTACCATGGCAAGAAATTAGACATTAACCTTTGGAACAGGAGTGAGCTGTAACACAGTGCCTGCAGGTTTTTTATTAGAATGATACAGCTGAGAAAAACTGAAGGCAAAATATCAGCAAATACAGCAGGTCTGGGCTGCAGAACAAACAAGAAGCCTTCTAATTGAATCATATTCTCTTAATGAGAAAGAGTCAGCAGTTTCTGCTTGTTAATGTCAGAGTTCCTTAGACAAAATAGTGTAAGGATATTTCAAAACATTAATTAAAGTGAACTTAAGAAGTCTAAAGTAGTGTAAAGAAGGTATTTTTACAATTTCTGTTTTTAAGCATTTATTGTTTCTCTAAATTAACTTTCAATAAATTAAAAAACCCAAACAAACAACCTAAGGAGTTCTTCAGGATTTCACATGGCAAATAAAGCCAGTAGATCACGTTATTGTAGCTGCATGATATAATACCTAAAGACATACCCTAAATAAAAATAACATCACAATTTCAAGGCTGAATGTGCTAAAAACTGAAGGTTTTTGTTCCTGAAAAATGTTCCTGACAAAACTTCATATCTTAAAAGTCACAGCAGTATAAATTCTGTTTCAGATAAATACAAGAAGGTACTCTTTAATTTCTCTCATCTGATAAGTATTCTAATTATACACATTTTTGATGTTAGCATCAGAATGATTTCTTGGTTAAGAGATACAAATCTATCCTTAAGTCACAAATATTCACATGTCTATGCAGCTGCATAAAGACATGCAATCTCAAAGAAAACGAAGGTGTCAATTTGATTTTTTCTTAAAAACTCCCACTGCATTTTCAGCAGCAGATTAAAGAAAACCAGATTTCACAGAAAACAACAGGAACAGAAAGTTAATCCAAGATTGGTTCCACAGCCAGATTCATATTTAATGCATGTGCTTTGAGCACATGATGCTAGATTTGACTACCCTAATTTAATTTCTAATATATTGACTTGTTTCAAGCTACTATTCTGGTTCACACAGTTAAATCTGTAACTATTCAGACAAAGCAGATTTGGATTGATAGTCCAACCTTCCCCATTCCCAGTGCTTCACATCATCTGCTGTCCTAAGTCAAACAGTTTGGTTATATTGAACATTCCCAGTGGATTGATCAATTCCTATATATAAATAACTTACAGGTAATATTTTCTTCAGGCCACAACGTAAAAACTCATTTCTCAAGTGTATCCTGAAATCCAGATCGTCTGGAGATGTAACGAGGGCATTGATGAGCTGCATACAAGCTATCTGTTATGAGAAATAAAGGCAGAAAGCTTTAGTAAGTATAGAGTGAAAATCAATACTGTATTTCACTATTAAAATTTAATTATAAAAGCAAATACCAAGATATGGATATTATTTATCATGTGGTGCACATGTAACACTTGGGTTCATTTTAACAAAATCTAATTCTGCTCTGTTTCCTTATCATGATGCTTCTGCTATGTCAAAATTGTATCACATGAAGCATCATCACAGAATTATATCAGAGAATTGCTTTTGTTGGAAGGGACATTAAAGATGATCTCATTCCAAACCCCCTGCCACAGGCAGGGATGCCTTCCACCAGACCAGGTTGCTTCAAGCCCTGTCCAGCCTGGCCTTGAGCATCTCCGGGGATGGGGCAGCCACACTTTCTCTGTGGAATATCTGCCAGTGCCTCACCACCCTCAGAGGAAAGAATTTCTTCTTAATATCTAATCTAAATCATACTAGTTATTTCCAAACTACAGTTGTACATTCCAGCTCCTTCTCTGTCTCGTCAGTATTCACCAGTTTGAAAACAAACTGTTTCTACAGTAATTAAAAACTTTAAAGAAAACAACAGAATCACCCAAAAAATACCCATACCCAAAATAAGTCACATCATCACGTGTGTGTGGTCTGTTCTTGCACCACACTTTTGCAAAATGCCTGAAGTCTGAGGATAGTGGCTAATGCTTTAATTGAACAGCTGTGCACTTAAATTGATTTACTTGAACACAGGTAGACAACAGCATAATGCCAAATGTGCTGATCCACATGAAAAGACTAAAATGGGACTCCTGGGGAATACCAAGTTTGGTAAAAGATGTTAACTGCAAATAGAAGTAGCATTAGAGTAGGAGAAAAAAAATAAAAAAAAAATCAATAACTGCAGTGGAAAAAAGTCAGATAAAAAGGACCCTTCCTGTTTTAATTACATTCACTATTTGGTTTTAATGGAACACCTTATGGAGTCTCAAATTTCTATTAAAACACCCTTTCAAAGGCAATCCCTTTATATAGCTGCATCTTCAGATAATGCAGTATCATCATGCTTGCTTGAATGATTCTTGTTATTTTACTATGACATGACTTAACAAGCCAAAGTACATGTCCAATCTGAAATTAATAGAGAGAAGAGGTGCCACCTGCTATGATTGCTTCTGCCAGGAGAGACTCTGGCTTAATGGCTTGTGCTAATACATTACAAGTAAAGAAGGATTTTGTCAGAAACAAGTTAATGAGTCTTGCAATTGTACCTTTACTGAGGTATCACTGAGGTTTTGGGAGGTGGAGGTTGGCAGGAATGGTGTGTAGTTATTTTTGTTCGGTTTAAATCAACAAGGTCATAAAGTAGGAAACAATTACAGAATGAATTCTTTGGTGATAGGCTATTAAGATTAGAATGTCATTTACAGAAACTTATTGAACATCATTAACTCATCAGCTCTGAAAAAAGAACTACTGATGGTAAACACAAGCATTAAGACAACTAAAGCTGACATGTACTTGATCCAATACTGCAAAAAGGCCCCTTCCATGCCCTGCCCGCATTGCACTTTTACCCACCTTTCAGCCATGGAAGGTGAAATACAAATTTTAGCAATACAAAATGTGTATAAATACTGTGTTACGAGAAGGACATAAGTCAAAGCCATCCTTTAATAGGATATTCAGCCTCATGGTCTCTATGCTTGCATTTTAAAAGCAACCAAAACTCAGGCTATTGAGGTGCTCACAGAGAATAGAAACCTCTATCCACTGACACATAAGCAACAATGAATGTGATGTAGGACACGATTTAGTAAAGATCACTGGCACAGAATGTTTATTTCATTATTTTATGAAAATAATTCTATAAGCTCACTAGATTACCCTTAGAGATGCACTAGTGGCTGATGGAGGGCACATGTTGAACACACAGCAAGAAATGCAGAGTTCTTGTTGACAAAAGGACCACTGATATTCTGCTGCACAACACTCATCTCAAAAGGTACCCTGCCAAAAATGGGCACACCCAATTCCATAGCTGTCATAATTAGCATATATCTGAATATTTCAAAGGCACACTTACACTGCTGCCAAAAGTCCCAGCACTACCAACAGATTTATTACCTGAACATTACCTCTGGCATCCAAGAAAAGGAGTATCATTAATTATTGTTTTTTTCTAAGATCAAGACTTTAGGGACAAGGAAGTGAGTTCCTTGGTTTCACACCATTAGCAATTATAAAATCTAATACCAGTAGGCCATTTGCATGTATTTCTCCTCTTTTACTGCACACTGGAGTAAGAGCACTATCTTAGCTGGCAACTAATAGGTGATTTTTGAAGTGTTGGTAAGCACACATAAAAGTAAACTCACCTGCAGCTGTATGAATTCATGGTTCTCCAATCCTTCAACAATCTGAGAAAAACGTTCTTCCCTATTGTTCCTTTCAGCAGCAGTTGTTATAGCAGCTAAAAGCTTGTCCAGACTAAAAGAAAGATAAACTGTCAAAAAGCACAGCACAGCCAGTTTGAACATACTCAGCAACTCAATTTCTACAACTCAAGAGCACTGACAGAGTTTGAATACATTTATCTACATAAAGTTGAAAACAAACCAAGAACCAAGTGTTAAAAATATCTACAATATGAATGAATTAAGAAAAAAAGGCAAATAAATCTCTAAATTATTGTGACATTCAGTTAAGAAACCACCAGTGAGGGGGAAAAAAATTACTACCTTTGCAAGACCATGCACTAGATACCAGCTGACATGTTTAACATCCCAAAATCCTAATAAATTGTCTTCTCAGAAATCAAAATGTTTTAATCTATTTATTGAATAGAACACATGGAGTTTGTCCAGTTTAATCTTCCAGTAAATAAATACACTGATGAATTTCAAAGAAACATTTGCCAACTGATTATATTTGTTTTAAAAATCTCATGGGCAAGCGTTAAACAACTCCATAACTTGAACTGTTCCAAACTCCAGCTATAAATATAAACTTCTTGTCCCTGTGATAAACAGGTGATATTTTAGTTTAAAAAATTTAATACTTAATTTAAAAAAATAAAATATATTTATTTTCATATTATTCTTCTAAACTAATTAAAAATTTTAAGATGTGGTGCCATTTTCCAACATACTAAGCTCCTCTCCCTTTCTCAGGGGAGATGTCCCGGTCTCAATCCTCCCTACACTAATAAGCTCAGTAGTGCCCCATGCACATTGCTCCAAAGTATCTTTAAGTCTGACAGCTATTCTTGCGATGATTAAAGTTCACAATTGCTGATAATTCTCAGAGAAATATGAAATAACTTATATTTATGAATAGTTATGGCTCATTAAGTCTTCTCTTTAATAAGCAACCTTAATCCTTTCAGACCTTCCACTTCAGCCACGGTTTGTAGATCTCTGCTCATTTGCTCTTGTCTGATTTAATCTTGGATTAAAGCACCAGAACAGGTGAAAGTCTCTTTTCATTTACACTACATTAATAATGACTTAATAGGTTACATTTGTTTCACAGACAAGTTTTCTCACCTGTGTCCAAACTGACAGCTCAGGAGCATTTAAAAAAAAAAAATTGCATTGATATTTTACTTACATGTTTTCCTCTCCGACAATGCAGATGGCAGAAAGTATTTTCACTGTTTCAGTCATCATGTGTGGTTGCTTTGGATCAATTGCTCTTGATAACAGCAAGAGACCTCTTTGATCTCCTAAAATCCTTTGCAAACCGTACTTAAAGAAACAGAAAGCTTACAGTGAAAAGACTGTATTTGCCCTGGATACTCATCATCATCTTTGGGCTTCAGATCCTTAGGAATTCTCTCAAACCCTCCCTCCCATATGAAGTTTGGCAACCATCTACTAAAACCTCCTGCTTATCACTGCTTGGGGACACAGGTCAGTCTTCCCAGTCTTACAATTGAGGCTTTCTCCTGAGAGAGAAAGAGTCAGCTCCTCAGGAAGACATTTATCTTATAAAATCAGGTATCCACCAAAAGAAAAATTAGGGGTTTTTTCTATCTATATCTGAAACACCTCAACAGTATAAAAGATTTATTAATTTTTCCCACTTCATTAGACAGGCTATCCCGTGAGATTTTTCTAAACTGAGTACAAGTAGTTAAAAGTAATTTTTATGCAGTTTTATTTGCTGGGGAAAATAAATAAATACAAGACTTCAGCTTTTGCTATGCATAAATCAGAATTACAAGTCTAACACATCAACTTCTGGAAATAGCACTTATACTTTGTGAACATGACCAACCCACATTAGAAACAAATTAGATATTTGTTAGATAACCTAATCCTTTAACCACTGCCTACCAACTTAAAAATTGCAGCTAAATAGAAATTAAATCACACTCAATTTAAAAATCAGTTGAAAAGTACACTATGTTAACAAAGACAATCATATATTGAAATCTGAATTTAGAAATATTTTTCTTTCAATTTCCAAGCAATTGATTTACAAATTCAATTACCTTAATTTATACTATCATCCTCTGTCAAATATTTTACTTCCAAAAATCAATAGTACTTAACAAAACTAAGAAAAAATGTATATTCAGAAAGATTCATTTAAAAGATTCTCAACAGAAGTTGTACTAAATTTTAAGATCTGCATTTCCAAAAAGTTAACTAACACTGAACATACAAACGTTCCTTCCTTCTCCAAGATCCAACATGCTTAAACTCATCAGGAAACAATAATTTGAATTTAAAATAATACTTACTTTATTGTTCATAAATGCTCTGAGGCACTGGATAAGTTTATGTTGATTCTTCTTATCAATACTTTCTTGCCTTGAAAGGAATGAGGAAAATAACGTAAGTAAAATCTTCACAACCTCCCCACACCTCCCTTCAGATGGTCCAAGTCCTTACTGTTTCTTGTCCAGAAGCTTTTCCAATGCATCCAACAGAAGCCCAAGCCCTTCATGTCCAAAATTGTTAACCCAGCTGGAAAAAAAAAGGAAAAGAAAGGCTCTTAAATATTTCTCAATCAAATTTAAAGCTTGCAAAGGTCTGTCTCCATTACTGCCTGTACATCCCTTCATAGGCTCTGCTTTCAGTCTGACTTCCTAGAAGACCTGATCAACCATCAAGACAAACACACAGTTCCAACAGCTACAAGTTGTTGAGAACCACTGTGAGAGGTGAGGAGATATTGCAGACAGTTGCAAACATTTCACTCATCCTTTTCCAGTGTGCTGAGAACACCGCTCTCATGTCAACATTCATTTGCATAATTACTCTGGTTTCAAAAAAAAAAAAAAAAAAAAAACAAAACAAACCAAACCCCACAACTCCTTCTTGCTTAGCAAAAACAGCATGATGAAAACTAGTGCAGGAATTGCTACTCACCTGACTGGATTGCTGGTTAGAGACACTCTCAAAGACTCCAGGCAATTAAGAAGTTTTTCATCTGAAATTCCAGATCGCAGTTCATGGATATATTCTTGTGAGGACAGTGTGCATTCGTGCTTGCTGTTTTTCAGTCCACCCTATCACAGGAGGCAGAAAGCTGTTTAGTGTTCTATTCATCATAGTAGTGTTTAGATGATAAAACACGAGACTAATATTTCCACATGAATTTTTAAACCACACTACAAGTATTAAAGACACCTGACTTGACTCGGATTTGTCATCAATGTTTAATACTTTCTGGTTTGCATCACAAGGGTAAGTATTTTTTCTGGAATCTTTTTCACTTCTTTGAGTAAAAGTGCATGCACTACAAATTGAATAGAAACATTTAATTCCATCATTCAACTGTATTAACATGTTAAATAAGTGTGCAGCAGTTAAACATCTACTTCACAAAAAACTGTATTAGAAACAATCATAAACAGAGACACACAAAAAAACCCACAGTTCATGCAACTGCATGACTCAATTTCTTGCTGTACCATAATTCCACGTTTGGCCCCTAACAGAGATCTCCAGAGGATCTTGTTTGCTACAAAAGAATCATATGGGAGATTTGACAAAGAGCTCATCTCCCTGCTGAACTGCCACTACAGAAGAATAACTACTTACAAGGTATTTCAGTATTAAAATAACTGATTATCAGTTCTTAGAGCTGTCACATTCAAAACCATGAACAACACACAAAATATTTTACCAAAGGGTGCAACTAATCTTTTGTACAGCTCTGACAAGTTGCAGTGGGCTTATCTCAGACGAGTGATTGTGATTGATATGTGGTTCCTAAAGCTCCTTAGCTCTGAAGGGTCTGTTGAAGAGAACCTGATAAGGATGTCATGGGTGTAAAGGCAACATGAGACATGCCTGACCTAGAACAGGATTTATATGTATTTGGTTTTAATTGTACCAGGAACTCCCACTACTAATCTAGCTCTTATGAAGTTTCTGGTTTGCTGTCATAAAATCTTTACCATTCATTTTCCAAAAGTGACACTTAAGTATGGCTGATGACAAAAAGACTTGTCTAAATTTAAGTTAATGACTTTGACCTACATATTTCTGTTATGTGCATTGAATCTAAGTTCACAACATACTTTCAGATTCAGAACAAAATGATGACAGACTGTGAATGCATTGAGACAGCAGCATCCTCTGGACTGTGTCAACTTGGAAGATATTTCTTGCTGACATGCACAGCACCTTTTGCTGGACATGTCAGCTATACATCAAAGGACCAAGACACACAAAGATGACTAAGTAGGATATAAAGGAGGTACAATCAGTCACCACCAACATCCTAAACCAAGACATGGTCTTCCACAGAAAGACAAAGAAATAAATGAGTGGGGATTATTTTTACAAGAGGAGGGACTGACTGTAAATAGGTAAATATATCAAAAACCATCATAGTTCAGAAAAACCATCATTCTGAAAGATCAGAATGTAAAGAACTAGAAAATAGGAAGAGCTTTATGCTGCTCATTGAATGGATGGAAGGCAGAAGAGATTTTATGTGTAACTAATGTACGGCATCTACACAATATGGATCTACACTGGACACAGTTTTTGTCATTTCGCCCATTTTCCAAACTACAAAAGAAGTACTGCTGTAAGCCTCAAAATGAATAGAGAGAAGAGATAATGGCAACTTTAATCAAGCTAGACCCTAAAAAGCACTCTAGAATGCAAGAATCCAAGACAATTGTTTTTCCAAAGTGATTATTTACTGTCATTATTGCCCTTCCACTGCACTGCTTGGGATCCCATGGAAAACTCAAATAAGTTAAAGCTCCAAAGTTGCCATGAATAGGCAAACCTGCAACTGTCACTACAACCCAACAGCATCAACATCCCAAAATTCTTTTCCATATCCACAGTAAATCTGGAAATCTTCAGGAAAATAGCTACATATGCTGGTAGATCAAAAACTCCTGAAGGATGAATCCTGTGACAACATATCCTGGGAAGGAGCACACCAAGTGCAATCATTCTTGAAGCAATAAGATGCAGAAGCCATACCTTAAGCACAGTACTTGTTATTTTACTATTTAGCAAATTATTTGTACAAAACATTTTAATGCACTTTTAGTGCAGAACTATTCTTGATCTTCATCAGGCCCTGAATTAAAAGGCATGGGGAAAAAAACAGATATTAAGAGTTTATCCCCTACTCATTCTGCAAATATCAGCTTGCTTTATAAAATAATCTCTTCACAAAACAGCTGTTCAGGCTAATTCATATCATAAGGAAATTACATGGCAGCAGAGATTATCTGAAACTGGTTTTAACACACTGAACTGGAAAATTAATAATTTGTCCCCTCAAAGATCAAATACCTTTAAATACACAAGCATGAGGAAGGTATTTTCCTCTATCAGGGGAAGAACCAGTACTGTGTACAAAACTGCAAAGTACTGGTGAACACAGTCTGCTTAAAGACCACTCTGAATAAAACAAAGCCAACAGAAAGTTCTTTGTCCTGTACGCTATATTTTATATATTTAACTAAATCTGAGGTTATGACTAGACAGTTTTAATTCATAAGCCATTCTCTATTATTTTTACTACAGAATATAATTACTGAATATGACCTTAGTAGAAAGCTTTGCAGTACCTGAAAGGCCTATTTTGGCTGAAATAAAAAATAATGTCCATCTGTAACTAAAAAGAAGATCTTTGCTTTCAGTCCCTATTTTAAATTCTAGGAAATAAATTAATTCCCAAATATTTGTTTATAATATTTTCATTCAATCATGACAACATAAAATGTAGATGAGTTCTTATTAAGAGAAAAGATATGCTGTCAGTGATTTCATCTTAAGCTTATTAATTGAATAATTATGAATCTCTAAATTAATCTTATTCTCACAGTGATATGCAGTAGTTGGTATTTCCAAGATCAACTAGGACATAGAAAAATTCCACATCTAAACAGAAGGAATTAAGCCAAATACTGTCAGTTTAAAGCTTCAAGTGCCTGCCTTCAACAAAAAGCAAGACAAGCCTGAATTATAATTGTTGCTCACAATGAAGAGATGAGCTCAGTGAGTCTGAAGTATTTGGAAACAGACTCCTGAAAACTTAAAAGCAGATCCCTCAAAAGTGCAAGCAATGATATTATACTGGTAACATAAACATGGCTGAGGTGGTTTCCGTTTCAGGATTCAGTTATGCCCACTGAATTTCTAAATCCCAGATTAAAGTCCAAAACATTCCAGCCTAATCTTTAAAAATGGAAGTTTATTCATAAGGAAAAACAAAACCATCATGTTCGTACTCACCGGAACTTTACTTCCGACTATCTGCATGCAGTGGTCAGCCAAGAGAGTTATTGTGTGAAAAAGATAATAATAATACATAAATAAACACAGCAAAGTACTTAGTAGGATGTAGTATCACACACATTTTTCAGTGTTTAATCATTAGTAGTAGTTATATTCTTTTACTATATTATCAAACTGTCTAAGAGTGAGCGCTTCTCAACAGGAAAACAGTAGTTCTACTGTAGGAGAAACAATTTCAAATTCTTATGTTCCACTGCTGAATCATCAGTATTTGACACATTTACCAACAGATAACTAAATACCTGGCTTGACAGTTACCTCTTGAAATATTAAGCATGCCATTTGGTTAAAATTATCAGGTCAGAAATTATAGATATGAAACTGAGAAAACTACAGAACACACTAATGGCATACTCACTTCTTTGGATGTATAACAACTTCATATATTATGGAGCTTTTGATCTATTTAGATGATGTCACCACTACATTTAATTAAGTTTTCATAATCAAAAACCATAGCCTACAGTTATAACTCTAACTTGCATTTCAGAAATCTCGTATGGCATTTTTATTCAACTGCTCGGTATGGATGTTTTTAATTACATGGATAATTAAACAGTGAATTTCAGAATACCATCTTCTCTTTTTACCATGGAATAGCATCTATGCATATTCCTGAACAAGAAGTTGACTTTCCACAGAGGAAACTGCACAGGAATGCAGCACATCTGTACCCTGTTCTCTCACTTTGCCCAAATGGCTGTGTTCTGGGAACACCAGGACTATGGACTTCTGCTCAAATATTGTTGGCCTTTCCTTGTCAGCTGTTTGCTGCAACCTGACGGAGGCAGTCCCTTTACTGAATAACCACTTCTGTCTGATTAAGGGCCCGATTTTGTTCTGAGATCTGAATTTGACTGTATCTGTTCAGCCTCCACCTGCTTCATTTTCTACTCTTATCTCTTCTATTATTACTTTAGGAAGTCTTTCAGAAGCAGAAGTCCCTGCAAGGCTTTCACAATCACCTTTTCTCTCCTCTTCCTGAAGAAGCTTCCTCTAGAAGCATAAAATGAACTGTCATCACCAGACAATCTCTTTTCCTAATTTACTGCCTACTTCTCTCACCAATGTTCAGTATCCAACATGGAATGAAGTGTCACCAAGTTGAGCTCTGAAACAGAATTTCATTCCTTCACCATTGTAATTTCCCTGGTCAACAACCTTTCTCTTCAAGCAAGAGAAGGAATCAGAAAATCACTTCACATGAAAGCATCCTGCTAATCAGCTTCTACCTGTCCTCCACCCCCAAGAAATAGGAAAGCTTTCTTCATCCATGAAACCCAAGTTTTCTTTCTCACTCAGAACTCTGAAGACAGAAGTGTTTCAGAAAAGCATGGTCAACATGCTGCAGATGGCAGACAGGCAGAGGAAACAAGCACCAAATTCAAAAATAATTTGGTCAAGACACCAACAGAAATGAAAGTGATACTTTCACTTGAGTTGAGAGAACTCAAAAGCCTAATTAAAAACATGAAATGAACCACAAGAAAAGTTATATCAACTGTTAAGTGTGTTTTGTGAGCTCTAAGCAGAAGAAAAAGTCTAAGTATTTTCAATGTAAAAAAGGAATATCTGTGATCAAAGAAAAAGGTAGAAATTTTAAGACATTTTAAGATCACTTTGAATGCAACCAGCATTTTCATGGAAGACAATCCTGAAGAAAAGAAAGTTGGACAGCTCATGATGCAATAAAGATTAATTAGGGCTTGAATTCATGTGAGCAGAATTGTAGTTTCACTAAACAAAGGACAAATTTACAAGAAAAATTAGTTTTGCTCTATTGTAAGAGCCCAATCATCATTTTACAGTTAAGGCCTATATTTCTATTTATTTTTTTATCAATTAAGATGCTAGTTATTTGAAAATCGAACTGAGGTAACATGCTACAGAAGGGTAGTTTATATTTCTGCATAGTTCCATTCAAATGCTGTGATTCAATTGCAGAAAGGACACACTGAAGCACACAAACTTCAATATGAGACATTTTGCCACTAGGAAAAACATTTTGCATATGTGTAAAACATCCATACTGGTGCTGACTTATGCTCAAAGTGCACATTCACATACAAGGACCTTTTAGAATTATTTTTTTTCAATTGTTAGTGCATTTTGACAAACATATTCCCAGTTCAGTTAAGTTTCCCATGCTGCAGCACATATGGTGGCAGGAATGCAATCTGTTAAAGTTCCAGCAGTTAGCCATGCAATGGGAGCCATGCTTTCCTTACTCAGCTACAAAATAAGGGTACATTTCAACATCAGCATATACAGGAGAGATCACCATTGTTCAATTACTTGTTGGAAAGAATTGGAAGTACTTTAACTTGTACTTGCTGCTTTCCCTTTCTACTGCTTTAATGAAATATTTTTACTTACCAAGAAAAATTTAACATTGATCACTAAGTGAAATCAAAAACCTTAGAAAGCACAATTAGTAGTTCCCAAAGATGGTCTAGGCAAAGTACATTAACAGGCAAATTCATACCATTCACTGCATAAACTTGAATAATTCTCCAATAACTTGTATGTTTAGTCAGACCATGCTTTAAGCACGGGATTCCTTCCAGCACAGACTAAAGAACTGTGGATTTTGTTTAAGATGAACTCAAGCAGGAACATCACTCCTCTCAGAAACTCAATAACCATTTTCATTACCATTTCATTACCATTTCATCACCATTATAATGCAAGATTCTCCTCACTGAAGTTTATGTTTCATGCAAGGCATTTGCATAATAATTGCATGTCATTGTAGTCTTAATTTCTTGAAATTTAACTCTGCAGAGCTGATTTTCAAGGTCAAAAAGAGACAAGTCAGCTGTACTGCTTGCAGTCCATGCTTGTAGATTCATTAGGCAGACACCAACATAATGTTATTTGCCAGTTTATTTCCCCACAAAACAGATTGGTTAATGCTGTCTGTATTTAGCACTCAGCTCTGCAGAAGGGCTGCCACTACATGTTTGAACAATTACTCCACGAGCGGTCTTCATTACCAGTAAGCTTTTATTGCACACAGCAACTTAAGTACGACAAAAAGATGAGATTGATCAGGTTCATTCTTGTTTCCAAAGAAAACCACATGCATTACCTAATTTTATTGAAGAACTACACTGATAGCAAATTTTGCCACTTGAACCACACTGTTGCCCTTTGGAAACAGAGAGCTACCCCTCAGCACCACCTCTCCCCAACACTTCAATTCATTCAGTTCCTTAGAATACAGGAACTGTATGAGTTCCAATACAGGAACTTGGAATACCACTAGCAACTTCCTTAAAATTCCTTACACAACAACAAGGGGCACAAATCAGGACAATTTCTAAGAAATCACAACATCCAACATTCACAAGTTTTTGTGGTATATTCTCCTTTTACATGATAAGAACTATATATGCCACGGTCAATCTTTAACACACAGAAAGCACTAGTGCTGTATTTTATGACCAATTAGTACTAATAGTTCAAGTGCAGAAAATAAATAGTAGCTCTTCACTATTTCTAATTGTATTTCTCGACCTCAAAAAATGTTGGGGCATCCGGTCATTCCCTTAAAATTTTGGTACCTTGAAAAATTTAGATTTCAAAAATTCCACATGAAGGATCAGCAAACAAAGGGTTAATCATTCAGTTAAAGAACAGAAAATAACAACACAAATGAGAGGTCCAAATATATTTTTCCTATTCAAAATGTAATTTGAATCTCATTTTAAGATCGTCCTTTTACTTAAGGAATCCAGTATGTACGTCACTGCTGAAACCATGAAGTCATGTTATCCCTTCCAAAAACTTTTGGTACTAAAAATTCCTAAGATGAATTCCATAGAAGTATGCTCAGCTTTCATCCGTGACTCTACATCACTTGATTTGCAATTTGCTGAATATTACAGGAAAGGACCAAGTTTTTACATTGCCCAGCAACTGAAATACAAACTAACCCTTCAGAAGCAGCTGCAAGCATTTCAAAGTAAGTACAGGTTTACGTATTTGTTCCTGCCATTCTTACATAAATCCAGATTAAAAAAAGAAAAATTTAAAGTTTCAAGCTTGAAAAGTATAACACTCATAAAGTTAAGCTTCTTTCCTCTGTCTTGGAGAGGTGAATACTTACGGATTTGGCAGTTGCAGAAATGTATTGGACAACCATCTCCCGTTTTGTGCTCAAGTCTTTATCTCTTAAAGGAGCTTTACGTTCCTCATTTAGATTCATGTCTTCCTGTAAAGAAACAGCCCACACAACATCAAGAATCTATTTCATGCTTTTTACTAGTCTTTGTTCACTTGATGCTACTTTTGTTAAACCAACAAGAAGTCACTTTTTCCAGTTTATCTGCAGGTGGATTTTCAATTCTGAGCTATCCGATTTTCTCATTTAATTCTGTCATCTCTTGTGTTCACCATTTTTGAGACTTGGACAAAATTCTAATTTAAATAAAAGGTGAAATTGGTGAAATTTGGCTCAAGAAAGAGAACTAGAGTACACAAAAATCCTACACCTCAAGTTGATACTAAATGTTAACTCTTGTGAATTTTCCTGTGTTTTTAATACAATCTTATCACAACAGACACCATTCCTGCACTATCTAATCAGAAGGCTGATTATTAGCTTGTAGAAACGGTAGATGTGAAAGTGTTCCAACTGATGTATTTAAAACAAGCCTAGAAGTCAAAACATTCTGCTAGATTAAACCCAAAGATGCCTATTGTAACTTAATAACCTATTAATGTAATTATTACTGGTCATGCCACTAAAAGTCAAAGTAACTTCAGTTTAACAACTAAAGCCAGTAAATGTTACTGTAATAATAATAACTTACTAGTGAACAGCTTTCTCAGAGAATTGTGAGTCTCTCAAGACAGACCTATTGTCTGCTTCAATTAACATTACCTGGAAAAGTCAAAAACTAATCCCTTAACCTAACAAGCAAATCAAGTAAGTGTTAATTAACACTTATCCAATCCTTCAAAAGAGATTCACAGCTTCATTGACCAGAGCAGAACCACACAATGGAACAGTTCTTGACTGCATGGAAGTGTACAACAATTTTGAAGAATGATACAGAAAACTGTAGTTCCAAAAATACTCAGAAAACCTCATTTCCTGATACTTCATGTACCAACAACAGTGTGCACAGCAGGACACACCTACTTCAGTTAGTTTCTGTATTACTAATGGAAAGGCTGCCTTGTGAGTAGAATCAAAAGCTTTAATAAATGATCCTATGACAGTGGATATTCAAAACTATGCAACAATTCAGCTTTCTAGGCATTAATATTTTATTAATAGAAAATACTATTTTCCAACAGTATTTATTAACTTAAGTTCATTAAAAACTGTCCTTCAACAGCAGTATCTAACTACTGCGACTAAGGTCTACAGGGGTTGGTTGTTTTAATGAAGCAATCAACAGTGACTTTTTTTTAAATTTAGGCCTTTTTTGCCTTTGTTTTGCCTGTAGAGGTAGACCAAATCATTTAAATATCTCTAATACTGGCATTCTCTGAGTTAAACTGTTTATGTGCCAGTTTACATAGATCTATGTAAAGGCCCATAGTATCCTATGCCCTCACAAGGAGTTAATGCTGCCCAAAATTACAGTATTTGAAAACAACTGCTATACAATAAATATTAACTCGAAACCAAATTAAAACTCATAAAACTATGTGGAATATCGTCTTACCATCATTTTTTCAAAGAGATCCATCACTTCTTTTTCTGATAAGTTCATGCAACGCTCATCAGCAAGAGCCTGGGCATGGGGGATCTCACTAATGGAAGGCTGGGAGTCAATAGGATGCTGAATAAGAGGCTTCTCTTTTTTCACTGCTGATCTCCTGAAGCTTGTAATCCTGTCCCGCTGCAAAGACATTCATTCAAAAATAAGCAGAAATCGAAATATAGGAAAGCAGCCAATACACACATTTTTAGTTAATTTAAGCAGCAGCGTTAAAACTCAAACTGAACTTTAAGTTAAAATACTCTTCATGTTCAGAGATTACTTTCCACAGAAAGACAATAACATATAAGGTAAACCCATGACAAGTCACATGCAAAAGCAATATAAATATTTCTCACAGCTTCAAAACTATACCATCTAGAATAAACTCTAAGCATTTCAAAATCTTCAGCTCATCTTCTCACATTACTCCCTAATTATCCTGATAGTGAATAAATATGGTACCACAAAGGTAATGTCCAAGCGTTCCTTCACCTGAAGAGCTATAAGTCTTTGGAGGACAACTGAAAAAGCCAGCGTTGGGAAGGAGGTACTCACAAGTTCATCAGGCTTATAAAAAAATCCTGCTAAAGTAAAATAAAGTTTATAGAGGAATTAATGCTCCAAGTATAGTTCACAATTCCTTGAAGTGTTTTTGAATACAGACTCCTGAAATTAGTGCAAAATTTTAAAAAGCCAGGGAATGGATTACTGACACAGAAGCAGCCACCCATAGTTAAATACACATAACAGACATTAGTGAAAGCATGTCATACAGTCTGCCACTGACTTGCTTTAGCCCTTACACCAAACCCCCAGCTTTGCTTTTTTAAGCATGCTTACTCAGTTACTTTGTTAATATTGGAAACAACCAACAAGGGCACCTTCCTCATAAGGCCATTTATTACATTACTTTTAAAAAATAACTCTATTCTAAATAGAGTCTGAATTTTTTGACTTAGTAACTGCCTTTGATTTTATATATATATATATATATATGTATGTAATTACGTGTATATATATATATGTATTCATTTTGAGAATGTTCTGCCTATAGCAATTTTTCTCAATTAACTCTTTGCATCAACAAATACTCCTGTATTTGTTTCAGGCACTGAACAGCCTTATGAAGATGTGCTTTCATCTAACAGCAGCTTATGTAGGGTTACCAGGATCATTCATTGCAGTTATGCCATCTCCATGAAAACATGGAAACCAACATTTATATTTGCTACACTTACACAACCTCTGTGATGTGTGAAGAGCTCAATGAAATATTTTACTCGCAAAAATTTTGATTCCTTTTAGATTAGCGAGTCCAGGGTGGAGAAATCTGAGCAAGTGCTATGGAGTATGAGGACAAAGGACTTTTTTTTCCTGTCCTCGTTTTGTTTCTTTTTCTCTTTTTTTTTTTTGTGTGTTTTTTTTTTTTTTGTGGTTGTTGTTCATTTTTTTTTCCATTTTTATTTTTTTGAGATGCTAGATTACCTTAAAGTTTCGAAGTAAAGTATCCCTAGATAAGCTGCATTCCCTTTGAATTTCTTTTGAGTTTTTCAGGGGGTTTTGTGTTTGCTGAAGGGGGGGTGGGTTTTCTTCTTCCTTAGAAATCTTACATTTGTGGACAGAAACACAATACCTACAAGGATACAGTTGATGTCTTTAACAAGCAAGAATATTACTTTAATCTTTTTTTTTTACCTTATTAGAATAGCTTAAATTATGTTTCTGGAAACTAAAACTAGGGCATAGCCCAGTAAAAAGGCCAAGGATAGGATGCAATGCCTGAAAGGTAGTATCCAAATTTAGCCAATATACACCAAATGCAGTGTAACTGCTCACTTACTTTAAAAAGCCCACTCGGCAGTCACAAAAAGTTATTTAAGATCCAATTTCACCATGCAGTGATCTGTTTCAATTTATTAACAACAAATTTGTTTAATGAGATTGTAATGGTGAGATTGCTTTGAAGCCACAAATAAATCTTGTATATGATTATTAGGTACAATCTCCTCATTTCAGACATGTAGAACCTCAGGAACTAAATAGCCAGTGTGGCTTAACTATTATATACATAATACAAGTTTTTCATTTTAATGAAATCAATTTTGATACAAGTTTTTGCAAAAATACTTTGCAACAGGTTTCAAAGTATTCAGTGTTATAAAGTTAGTGCTACTGAATACGAACTTGTTGTTTGGCATTCAGTATACACTTATTACCCAATACGGTTCCACTTGAATCATGTGGCAACTAAATTTGAAGAACCACTGCAGATCCTTTACTATTAAAGAGAAGGTCAAGAGAAATAACACTTAAACTGTTGAGTAACAGTTTGAGTATATCCACAATATTACTAAAGTATTTAGAATGTGATCAAGGAAGTTTCTTCAAATAGAAACCACAATTAGTCTTCTTCAACAGAAATTACAAATTAAGATCTTTAGGAACAGTCACTCAATTTTCTGAAATGTATTGTTCAATATCCTTATAAGAACATGTAATTTTGTCCACAACATTAGAAGTAAAGTAGCATGCAGCGTGGAGTTACCATTGCAAATTAAGATGCTACAAAGACCTTACCACATCATCTGCCAAAGTTTTTATTTGAATATTCTATTAAAAAAAAAACAACACACACAAATCAAAGAAAAAAAGACAGTGTTACCTACTGTTTCAGAATAAAGAAGTCTGTATTTCATGTATTTGAACATTTAAAAGCATTTGAAATTTCACTATGTGTTCTAATAAAGCTAAATGAACATGGAATATACTGTATTTTCTATGAAAAAGCAAGCTTATGTCCCATTGCACCTTGTCTTTTGACTATTTAATCCATGAACCTGAAACCTGCATTGTTCTAGTACCCGCAGTACTGCATAAAAATAAAGTAAGATCTCTTAGAAGGCTTTCCAAAACAAACACGGACTGCTGGACTTCAAACTGCGTCAGCAGAGAGTTATGTGACATTCTCTGTTCTGACCATTTTTGAGACTCAGAGCTGAGGAGAATTTCCCGTGCCCAAATTTCTGAAGCCTTCTGCCAACTTCTACACTGAATAATGTCAATTAGGAGATGAACTGGTTAAAGTCACTGAACTGGTGATTCACAAACCACTCATTATCATCTCTCCCTCTCTTGTACCCGCTCATTTTTTCCTTAACAGCAGGAAAATCCTGCTAACAAAAATCATCAATGTTACATTTCTATTCGTGGCCAAACCACTTATACTGCACACCAATATCAATAATGGTTATCAAGAAAGCATTCCGTTCATGAACTTTGCTCAATCTACACCAAGTCATGAATAGGAAATAAGGTCTAGAACTTATGGTGGGGTACAGAATTGGAGAAGCTTCCAGAATTATGTGGGACAGTGTGGTGGACTGACCCTGGCTGGCAGGTCAGTCCCCATAGAGCCACTTGCTCATTCCCTCTCAGCAGGATTATGTAGAGAATCAGAAGTGCAAAAGCAAGACATACTTAACGGTTGTGATATAAAAAAAATAAAATAAAATTCCCCTCCCAACCTCCAGACCACCCACCCTGTTCCCAGGTGGGAAGCACTAAGCCTTGACACTGCAAAGGGATGTTCAGCAAAAGCTGAAGCACTGGTGCTCTATCAACAGTGCTTTGATCACAAATCTAGGACACAGCACCATATGGGTTGCTATGAACAAACTCCACCTCAGCCTGACCCAGCACAGACATCTGTACATCCAGATGTTGACACCTTCACCTTCCAAACTGATACATCTCAATGCCCTTCCGTATTGCCTATTCTGTATTTTCATTACCCAGACTTAGTATGGAGCTTATAATCTTGAAATCAAAACTAAGATGTCTATACTCTGGTAAATAGACCTTTTCTTTTTAATTGAGATTACTGAGCAAAATGAAGCAAACCCTAACCATGATTTTAACCCAGAAACAACTGTGCAAGCAACAAGTTCTAAAACTGCATATCCATTTTAGCTGTTACTTGTCCTAGAATTTTTTTTCCCTCCTCATTTAAGCACTGTCAATCTGTCCCTGAACCTGGAACAGGATAATCTACCCCATCTCTACACTTATATTGCATTTGTCACTCAAACTCCTCCGGGCAAAATACAGAATACTAAAACAAGATACCACACAGCATTTTTTCAGACACCTCAAGCACTCTTCCCAGATATCCTTATAGTGTGTAAGCTACATTGCTGCCAGCAGCTACTCAAGATAAGCAACAGATTTAACAGGTAGGAGAGAAACTGCAAGCAGCTGGAGGCAAAGTTGAGGCAGTTATGTACCTGCAGCTTCTCACACTATTTTGACAATCTCTTATACTAACAAAGAAATCACACTTCCAGTCTGATTTCAGAACATAAACCAAAAGTAGTTTACCTCCCTAGAAGGAAGTTTAAGATATTGTGGATTTTGTAGGCCTCTAGCATTATTCTTTCAGCCATCTATAAGACAGCAGAGCAACACAAGACAAAAAGAAATCAACCCTTTCCTAGCTTGTTAAAGACACTGACTCCTTGCTTTGAGAAGCAGCCCAAAGGAAAAGGTTTTGCAAAAACCTCTACGATTAAACATTTGTAAATAAGATATATCAAATTAATATTTGCATGTATAAATATACATACAATTTAAGACAGTAGCATATCATCTCTGTTTTTAATACCAACACAAACCCCAGGATTTCTTCAGCATCTGTAGCAAAGAACTATTTCCTACTGATTTACCTGGTTCTTTACTTAGAAGACTTAAGTGATGGAGCTTTTCCCTTTCAAACAAAGTATTTCCAGTTTATCAATAGTTAATATCATCTTCTATTTACTCTTCCTGATTTTAGTTTATGTATCTGGCTACTTGCATTAGTACAGAGAGACCATGTCAGTAAAGCACAAAAGTCACACCAAATACTAATGCAACTGCAGCAGACAATTCTTTAATCTTAAAAGGTCAGTCTTAGCCATGTAAATATCCAGAGTAATGGAAATCTTGCACATGAAAACAGCAGAAAGATATTCATAGTTCACTACACTTCTTGTTATAGAAACCACTATTTCCTCATGCAAGCTCAATTCAGGCTACAGCAGCAACAATGTCACATCCACAGAATTAAATGACTTGAGATGACTGCATCAACTTTTAATGCAAAAAGCACAGTAAGTCTACTTTTCCTTACATACTTTTCTAACTTTGATCTTAATAAAACCTTCCAGAGTGGACACGAGTTTTAAATGAAGTGAATTTACATGTGTGGACTGATCTTACCATTATATTTAAATATTACTTTGCCATGTTCTTAATTGTTACACTAAAGACTCACTTCCACCACAAAAATAAAATCAAAAGTAACTTGCAGTTCGCCACATGTACAATGAAACAATGATCATCTGAATAACTTCTAAACTTAACAGCAACTTTAACTCCAATGCCCACTGTCCAAGAAAACTGTGGTGTGCTCCAAGCAATGCTCATTTTCTAAGGCTAGCAAACAGAAACTTGACATTCTCTTAACTCTCTTTTTTTTTTTTTTTTTTCAATTGAGATGATATGACTGTTTTCTAAAATTTACCTCGGCTTCAGCACCTGCAAAAGCCATGGTAAAGCTTCTCTCAAGGACAAGTGCTTTTTAACAGCCTGCAAAGACATTTGCACACAAACCAGGAAGGGAATAACTCCCCACATGAGTACCTGAACCAAGGAAGTTTAAAGGGACAAAACCCAAAGCTGGTTAATAACTGAAGTACAAAAAGTTGTCTGCAACTTGAAACTAGGTCTTACAGTCACAAAATAGAATACACTCCTACAACCTCTGTTCTTCAGTTCAGAAAATGAATAATGTTCCCATTAGACAATTTAACTGTCTGTTAGCATATTCAATTTTGTAATTAAATCTAAAAAAGCACCTAGGAAATTTTGAAAAGATACCCAAGTCATACAAGCTGATGTGCAAAAACCAGAACTGCACACACTCATTTAGGCCTTTCAAGATTTTTATCCATGATAGAGTATAACTGGCATTACTAGTAAAATTAGTAAAAATGTAATTCACAAAATGTTGGCTTTAGTGTAATATTTCTGCCATTTCAAGGACAATTCACCATGCTTTTGAAAAGAAAAAAAAAACACCACACACCAACAAAACTTGAAATGATTGTTGTAATTCATCTGCTGTCTCAAAGATACTTGAAGCAAGTTAGCTCTGTTATTATTGTTGTACATTTACATTTGGCCTATATGACACCATATGGAAAAATCTTGTTTGCTTCACAAGTTCCTTAAACATGCATTATTTAAATGTTTAAACTAAGGCTTTATCTCCAACATGAAGGTAAACATTCCCTGGGGTTGTACAAGGAGCATGTGAACCCCTCACATCAGGCTGCCAAAATGCAGCTGGACAATTGTTCGTGTTGGCAGCACTGAGTCAGTGCTGTTTGACTGGAGGGTGGCAGTCACCTCCCAACCAGGAAGCTGCCTGCTTTTCCCAAATGCTCTACTTTTTTCCCCTCCAGGAGACTGACCATCCACAAAATGCTCTGAAAATAAGTTAGAGAATTTGTCGTATTAAATAAAGCCCAAAGGTCAGTCCGGTTGGTAAATCATTAACAGCAGAGGGCACCAATTCTTCAGTCACAGTGCTGGAGATGCCTCAGCACTGCTCCCAAACAGAAGGGAGCAGGGAACATGTCAGAGGAACAAGAATCATATTGGACACTTGCCATCTCAACGAGGAGAGAAAAGGCCACCTCCACACGGTGTCTCTGTGCAAGGGGGACAGAGAAACCCTAAGCAGTGATCTGGTCTGGTCTGACTGAAAATGGAGGTTGAGGGAAACTGAACCAGCTTCCTCATTTTTGTCTGACTGACAGATCACTGTCCCACTCCAAAAGCGAAGGGGCTGCTCAAAATACTGCATCCTTCCAGATTACTTCAAGGAAGCCTTTACCAAAAAGCAAATTAACTCAAAAGTTGGAAAAAAAATTAATAAGATCACTGTAAACAAAATTAGGCAGCCTTAATTTCATCAGGTTTGTAACTAAAGATACAAAGGAGCTGAGGAAGACAATTCAACTAATATTGTTTGTTTATTTGTATTTCAAATGTCCATTAATGTTTTCAAAAGTTTCCTTCAGAAAATAATTCATTGGTGTTCATCAATAAGCTTTAAAAATCAGAGCAAATTTAAAAGCTTCTTCCAAAAGCTGCAGTTCTATGTCAGTCTAAGCCAACAAAATTGCTGACTGTGAGACTCAGGGCAAGGATGGCACCAGGACAGTGAGACCAGGTCAGACAATTGCAGAAACATTTTCAAGAAGCCTATTAGAAGAAGCAGTTCTCACATTAGCCAGTGCAGAGGAAAATAAAGTATGTTTTGTCATTTTCCAGAGCTCCTGCTGGAGTCCAAACATTTTCCATCAAGTCTCTGCCCCAGCCAGATCAGAGAAGTTACCAATAAAGCAGCCCAGGATCAGCAGGGTTTATATTTATAACAGTTGTGCTACAGAACTGGTGAGTCCTTCATACAGCACTGGGTACAGCCAGGATCTGGTTCCTATTTTGATATCTAGTGAATCCTGCAGGACAGGTTTTTCTTTGAGCATCTTGAAAAAATGTCTTGT